AAGAAAAGATCAAATGCAATTGCACTACCAGGATGTGTTTGGCAACTATATACGTGAGGTTTAAGAAAACTGTGTATTATAATAGCAGACTCTTTAGCAGAGCTGTCAGAGTTTGCCCAGTAGTAAGTATAAAGATTGTTGTTGCAGAAGGATATTTTTGTTTTATGTGAGATTTTTGTTTCAGTAATACTGGCAATTGTGATGTTATGATAGATACAGTAATCTTGCCAAATTTGTCTTTTGGAAGGAGTGTTGAAGCCTCTAACATTGTGTGTAGCTATAGTGAGATGTAAGTCATAGTCATTAGCCAATAGAGTGAGTGAATTAATAGGTGATGAAGGACAAGTTAGAGGGGAGGGTATAGAAGGGTTTGATGAGTTTGTGTTAAGACTTGGTGGAACAAAGTATAAGATAAGATCAGATGTTTGTAAAGATACAGATGAGTTAATAAAGAGAGAGTCATCAATAGAAGTTTGTATAGAAGAGTTGTTTGATTTGAGTGGTACTTTATAATAGCTACGAAGGTATTCAATGAGGTAGTAGTTTGTATGATTTGGTAAAATTCCTTCATGAGGAAGATATACATGTGCTTCAGAGAAGAAATAAGCGGTACTAGTTAATTTTAAAGATATTTTGATATAGTTGTTTGTGTAAAATTCAGGATATTCTTTTTGAATATATTGCAAGAATGAGCCAATAGTTTTTGGTGAGGGTAGAAGTTGTAATCTGTAGTAATGAAGGAATTTGTTAAAGATATATTTGGGTTAACTTTGTGATAAGTGCCTTTCCACCATCTTGAATAAGATAATAATAAAGATGATGTTGGATTTGTACAGTATTCTTCACTGTTGTAGTCATCTTCTGAAGGTGGTTTGTTAGAGAAGTCAGAAAGTTGGTTGTCAGTGGTATTTAATGTAGTAAGTGCTACCTCAGAGGGGAATGATAATATGGTGTCTGAAGTAGATAGGGTAATGTCTTTTGCAGCGGTCACTATATGCCTGGCTTGCACGGCTCTACAAGGATTAAAGGTCACCTGGTTGTTCATTAGGGGACTGTTGTTATTTGAACCTTCTGGGTAAATGGGCTTAACCACCTGCCCACTTACATTATTTTCCTCTTTAACTGCAAGGGGTGTATCTTTTAGAGAGGCGGTGGCTGCATTAATGTAGTTTGAAAAAGACATATTTAATAAAAAGAAGATTTATTAAGAAATAATGAATTATCAATTTGAGTAGGAACTTCAAAAGTTATATTGTGTTTTTTTAGCAAGGATTCTTCCAGCTTCAGGGTAGGCAATATTTGTATAGTATTGTGTAAGATAACGGAAAGATGATTCTTTTGTATGGGCTTGTTTAAAGTAAGTGATAATTCTTGCTAAATAGTTGGTGCTAACTACTTCAGCAGTAATTTTGTTGATGGCATCTGTTTTTGTTAAGTGATGAATTTGAAGATTTTTAGCAGCTTGTTTTTGTTATGTTTGAAGATATTGATAGATAGAAGAAACCATTTTGACATTTAACAGAAGAGATGATAACATTTTTGGTACAGAAGTTTTGTTCTGCTAGATCTGCTAATTTATTAAGAAGTTTGGTTAGAATTGGTTTCGAGAAGGTAGCTTCATTACTAGAGTCAAGACCAAAAATTGAGGGGTCGATTTCTATGTTAGGTGTATCAATTTCTTTTGGGTATTCTTAATAAGATTTGGTGAGTAAATTTTTGAAAAGTTGAGAGATATCATGTTTATGATTTTCTTGAACGAGGTTGCAGTTTTCGTGTTTACAAGTTGAATATGGAAATTGAGGTGTTTGAAGCATTCATCACAGCGGTCCTCATAGCATGTGAGTTTTTGGAAAGTATCGAGTAGAGAAGGGAGGTATTGTTTAAGTTGGAGAATATAGGCTCTCCGGATTTTAGATTTAAGTATATTATTAGTTTCTTCTTTGTTTAATGGATCTTTAAATTAGCAGTTTAGATAGAGAAGAATTCATCAAACCATTTGTTAAAATAGTCTAAGGAGTTTTGGAGTGAAGGGATAGAGAATTGTTTGAGAAAAAGAGTGACAAGTAGGTTAAGGAGTAGATATATTTTAGATTATATAAACATAAATTGCCAAATACACTATTTAATTTTGATATTTATAATTCTAAATTTGATTTTTATAACTCTAAAATATATTAACTTTGAAAGTCTCTAGTTGAACTTAAAAATCTTATAAATACAACCTGAATATAATAAAGAATTATTTGAGCATGCTTAAAGCTATCAAGATAATTGGTGCATATAGCTCATATTGCGCAGATAAGATAATATAAATTTTTTTATGACCTGCTTTAGTCTAAAAGGAAATGTGACAGATCACAGAAAAGATCTCAACCAATAAATAAGATGCCTAATGCCAATTATAAACTTCATTGGATGTGATAGGACCCGAAATATATATAGAGGGTAAGGTTTTACAAAAATTACTAAATTTAGAAAGATCTGCAAAAAAAGTCAAAAATAAGCAAACTAATTACTATAAATAGAAATAATCTGCACAAAAAGGATCAAAAATAAGCAAAATAAAACCTAATCTATCTATATATATATTTCGGGGTCCTGATGTGATCTGCTGCATGCTAGCAAAGAAAGATAAAAGGAGCAATTCTAACTATCTGCAAAGAGAGAAATTCAAGAGGCAAGCATCTAATAGATGCTGAACTCTAAGTTGATTTTTAAAAATTGATTCAATAAAATAAAAGATATAAATAAATAATAGAATTTAAAAAATAAAATAAAATAACAAATTCGTTAATTTTAAAAAATTTAAAAAATTTATGAAATTTAAAAATTGACTTTGTACTATGTAGAATCTGCAGTATATCTGCAGGATAAATCTGACATTCACACTATTTGTTAGCAATAAAAAGACTGACACCTTGATGACCCCTGTTTATGCTCCTTGGAAATGATTGAGAAGTTTTAAATGCAATATATATATATATATGTGCTGCTGTATTTTTGGCTTTTGAAACAATAGCTTTGCCAAGAAAACTATGAAAGCTAATACTGTTGTTTACAATTCAATAATAAAGCAATAATTAATAAAATAAAATTAAAAAAAAATGGATAATATAAATATGTAAAATAAAATAACAATAATAATTGAATAATATATACTCTTTATTAGTAAATAATAAACTTGTTTTTTTAAATATAAAAGTATAAAAATCCGGATTGATTAATTTATATCCGGAAATCTTATGTCCTCATGTTCTTATGAGATCATCCTTTTAGATTTGAGAACATTTGATATTCTATATATGTTCTCTATGAAAAAATTTTGAGAACATAATGCTGAAAAAGCATGTTCTCTAAGTATAATAGCAAAATTTCCGAAAATAGGGATATCAATAATTTTAGAGATTAAATGTTGAGAACATAAATAAAATTTTGAAAACACTAAATCAAATAAATAATAAATATGTTCTCATGAGAACATAAATCTCAAACCAGATTTCCAACACTGATAACACTGATTTTTAACGGATCGAGTCCCAATTAGGATATCTCGTGATCCAGTGATCAGGGCGAAATTTATAGCATTCGATTTCTCTCATAGAGAAGGATCGAATGGTCTGATTAAGATCACGGGATCCCGAGGTTATCCCGATTCGTCACAATATCCTATTGCCAAAATTTTCTTATTTTTTAAATAATTCAACTTTCAATATTTTGTGATCCAATGATCTGAGTCGAATGATTTGGTATCATTCAACTCAGCTCGATAAGACGAATTAGATGATACCAAAATCATTCGATTTTGATCAATGTATCATGTGATACGATCAAAATATTTATCTTCGCCCCTCCCCCTTATATCTTTTAATTCTAAAGCATCCCAAAGATTACATTAAATAAAACTAACCAAATTTGAAATTTTGGGTTGGATTCGAAGCTTTTAAATCCAAATATTTTAAATTATAGAATTAGAATTTGTATATAAAAGAGAAAATTGGATTTCTAATACAAATCAGGCTTAAGCTAGGCCAATCAGAATGTTTCGGCCCAAACCGATTTTGCTGTTCAAATTTCATAGACGGAAGTTCGTCTGATTGGCTAATAAATTCAAAGTTTATAGTACTTTTTAGAAAAAATAAAGCTACGAAGAATAAGCAAAAAAGAAACATATAAAAAGTTTTATTAGGGTTGTAGGACTCCACCATTAAAAATAAACTCACTCAATTCTGGTTTTAGAGAAGTTAGCATGGTAATAACCTATCTTAAGAAGTCGCTATTATGCTAACTTCTCTAAAACCAGAATTGACTGAGTTTATTTTTAATGATGGAGTCCTACAACCCTAATAAAACTTTTTATATGCTTCTTTTTTGTTATTCTTCGTAGTTTTATTTTTTCTAAAAAGTACTTTAAACTGTATAAATAATGTAAAATTAATTTGAATTTATTAGCCAATCAGACGAACTTCTGACTGAGTTCAAATTAGATTATCGGATTATTTAAACACCAAAAAACCTATTCAATTTTTATCAAAATTTTAAAAATAGGTTTATTAATAAAATTGAGTTATTATTAGGGATCTGTAAATGCCCATGTCAGGCAAATTAGGCATCAGGCAAGGTGCCTGTGTTCCTAGGCACAAAATTGCCAGACACATTATGGGTACGGGCAGGCACTATAAGGGCCAGGAACAAATGTTGCAGGCACTAAGTGACGGCTTATACCTGGCACTTCACATCTTTACTTATGAAAGTTCTTGGTCACATTTTGGTATCTATGCCCATGCCCGTGCCAACCCATGCCAAACTTTTGTGCCTGTGTCCATTGTGTCCGTACCTATGCCCATGCCTAAGATTTTGTGCCTGCGCCTTGCTTATGCTTTTTGTTAGGCATGGGCATGAGCGACCTGCAGATCCCTAGTTATTATATATTAATTTTCTATACGCCGTTACAAATAAAAATTTTTATGTAGAAAACTACTACTAAGTATTATAAACTAATATTAATATAATCCAAAATAAGTTTGAGTTTTTAGCAAAAGATACAAAATTAATAATTCAGTTTTAATTTTTAATATTTTGACAGATAAATTATTTATGGTTTCAAATTTTGCATAAGCCCAATGTAGGTTTGCTTAGTAAAAAAAGCTACATCGCAATATACTAACAAATAATACAAAAGAAACTTGATTCAAATTTTGTTATAGCTATATTTGTTTTTAGGTGGATTAATTAATCAATTGACAATAAAATTTTTATCAATTCATTTGCAACAAAAAATTTCAATTCATAGGTCGATAATTAGAAAGACAAATCAAATAAAATCATTTCTTAGCTTTTTTACATCGATTATTTAGACGAATAAACTAAATGCCATATAAAATGACTAGTTGACTGACATATTAAAATTTCATAAAAATCACCCGTTATTTCAACTCTATTTCAATAGCAATTTCAGCAGCCTTTTTAAAATATACAAATGCCTTATACTCATCTACCTCAACTCCAATTCCATACAGATAACAATATCCAAGGTTATTTGTTCCACTTGCATTTTCCAAATTAGCAGATTTTTGGTAGTAAAAGAATGCTTTACGCTCATCTTTTTTAACACCAACTCCGTTTTCATAACAATAACCAACTTCCGACATTCCGCCAGCATTTCCCATCTCTGCAGACTTTTGATAGTAAAAAAATGCCATAATTCCATCTGTTTCAACTCCAATTCCATTTCGATAACAATAACCAAGATTACATATTCCGGTAGAATGCCCCATATCAGCTGATTTTTGAAAATAGGTAAATGCTTTATGTTCATCCTTTTCAATTCCAACACCATTTTGATAACAATATCCGACTTCATTCATTCCACTAGCATCACCCATATCCGCAGACTTTTGGTAAAGGGTAAATGCCTTATACTCATCTTTTTCAATTCCAATACCATTTTGATAATAATAACCGAGGTTATGGGTTCCTCTTGAATTTCCCATATCTGCGGATTTTTTATATTGAGTAAACGCTTTATGTTTATCTTTTTCAACCCCAGTTCCCTCTTGATAACAATAAGCAAGGTAACACATTCCAGTAGCATGCCCCATATCTGCCGACTTTTGATAATGAAGGAATGCCTGTTTTTTATCTTTTTTAACCCCGATCCCATTATCATAGCAATATCCAAGATTACATATACCAGTCGCATGTCCCACGTCTGCTGATTTTTGAAAATAGACAAATGCTTGATATTCATCCTTTTTTACTCCAATTCCGTTTTGATAACAATAACCCACCTCATTCATTCCACTAGAGTTTCCCGAAGTAGCAGATTTTTGATAATAAATGAATGCTTTGTATTCGTCTTTTTCAACACCAATTCCATTTTTATAACAAACACCAACTTCATACATTCCACTAGCATTTCCCAAATCAGCGGATTTTTTATAATAAATAAATGCATTATTTTCATCCTTTTCAACACCAACACCATGACTATAACAATAACCGACATTATATGTTCCACTAGTATTTCCCAAATTAGAAGATTTTTGAAAATAACTAAATGCTTGATTTTCATCCTTTTCAACACCAACACCATTTTGATAACAATATCCAACTTCATTCATTCCACTAGCATATCCCATCTCTGCAGATTTTTTATAATAGATAAATGCCTTATGTTCATCCTTTTCTCTCCCGATTCCATTCTTATAACAGTAACCAAGATTATAAGTTCCACTAGCACTTCTCATTTCGGCTGATTTTTGATAAAGGGCGAATGCTTTTTGTTTGTCCTTTTCAACGCCGATACCATTTTGATAGCAATAACCAACTGAAGATACCCCGTTAGCATCTCCCATCTTGGCAGATTTCTGGTAAAACATGAACGCTTTATGTTCATCCTTTTCAACACCAATACCATTTTGGTAACAATAGCCAACCCAAGACATTCCATTAGAATCGCCCATATCTGCAGAAATTTGGTAGTGAATTAATGCTTTAAGTTCATCCTTTTCAACGCCAATTCCATTGCGATAGCAATATGCAACCAAAGAAGTGCCTCCTGAATCGCCCATTTCTGAAGATTTTTGATAGTAGGTGAATGCTTTTTTTTCATCCTTTTCAACACCAATTCCATTTTGATAACAATAACCAACATCATACATTCCATCAGTGTGCCCAATATCAGCGGATTTTTTATAATGAATAAATGCTTTCTTTTCATCCTTTTCAACACCAATTCCATTTTTATAACAATAGGCAAGTGAAATCATTCCATTAGAATTTCCCAAATCGGCAGATTGTTGATAGTAATTAAATGCTTTATGCTCATCCTTTTTAACACCAATTCCATTTTGATAACAATAACCAAGATTATATATTCCGAGAGCATGTCCCATTTCAGCAGATTTTTGATAATTAAGATATGCCTTATTTTCATCTTTTCCGATACCAAATCCATATTGATAGCAATCACCGAGCCTATTTATTCCGTAAGCATTTCCCATTTCAGCAGATTTTTGATAATAGGTAAATGCTATTTGTTTGTCCATTTCAACCCCAATACCAACATCATAGCAACCTCCAACGTTACAAGCTCCAGTTGAACTTCCCATCTCTGCAGATTTTTGATAATAATCGATTGCTTTATGCTTATCTTTTTTAACCCATCTTCCAAGTTGATAACAATAACCAAGAATGTTTTGAATAATATGATTTGTTTGATTATTTACGCACCAATTAATAACATCTTCCGGTTTAAGCTGTTTGCTTGCTAAATGTTTTTCTATTATATTAAGAATTGTTGTGGCGTAGTTTCCTTTTCCTTCTTCTTCTTTATGCAGATCACATAATTCTTCAACAGTTCTATTCAAAATGCCTTGCGGCGTGTTATCATATAAATACTTTAAGTATAATCGTTGAAAAATATTATTGAATAAATTCTTTGGACCTTAAATAATATCTTTATTAATAACTCACCATCTTTTACAAAACATTTTTTAGATGAGTTATTAGGAAATCCTTCCTTGTTTGACATTTTGATGCAAAAAAAAGCAAAAATAGTTTGTAACAAAACTTGGTGAAAACGAACATGTTAAGTAAATAGTGATAAACATGCGCCATTTCTATGCATTGTAACGTAACTCATGCAATGTATTGGTATCGGAATTTGCAAACATTCAAATCTATATATGGTAACGTAAAGCATAGTAATTATTTAATTATAATAATACGTACGTACGTACACACATAAAGTACGTGCATACCATGAATAATTGCAATAAGTATCTTGAATGCCATAAAGTTGTAAACTGAAGCTGTAAACTGTAAAAGATGAAAACGCATAAATGTTGACGAATTTATTGATTTGTAAGCTGTCTCAATGCCTAGACTGTGGTTAATTTTATACTTCAGTTATATACATTAACTAGCAACTTAGTTATTTGCGTTGAATTTAAATTAGTGTTTCAGGCTAAACTGTTTTTCAAAATCCGAAACGTTTTGCCAGGAAGAATTTCAGTTTCGCACTATAGTTCGAAACTCCGAAACTAGTTTAGGTTCTCCAATCGTACGTACCGAGCATTATTTCGAGACTAGTGCTAGGGATGTGCAAGTCGTGCAATTTTTGAATATACAAGCTGGCCAGCTAACCTGAACTTTAAAATCACACTGCGCAACTTCTCAAAAATCCTGCGCAATAGTCCATCCCTATTAGAGACACCCAATTTTTTATTTAGGCTTATGTATATTGTTGTCATGAATCGGGTGAACTTAGAATAGGTGGCACAATTTAGCTTGAACAATTAGCTTAAAAATAGCAATTATGGTGGAAAATTAATATTTTTAGATGAAACATTGGGGATGGCGATATACTATGTAAATCAAAACTATATGCAGTTATATAATAAAATTTATTAGCGAAAATTTTT